TTTTTTTTTTTTTTTTTTTTTTGCCTAATTACAATAAAAGCCTCTCTTCCCATCCTTGTCCCCCTACAGTCTGTTATTGAGACAGCTGCCGGATGAAATCTTTTAAAACCCAACTTGGATCATGTCACTCCTTGTTTAAAACTAGCCTCTGGCTGTTGCCCTTATTGAGAATAAAATCCCAAACTCCTTTCTGGGACCAGCCATTCCCTCAGGATCTGGCCTCCCACTACCTTCACCTTCAGCTCTGCCCCTCACTCTGTTCCAGCCACACTGCCCCCGACAGTTCCTTAAATACACACATTTCCTCCTCTGGGCCATCACTGCTGCACTTTGTATTTCCTCTGAGTGTGAAGCTTTTCCCCTAGATACCCGTATGCTCTCCTGCTACTTATGCCCAAACATCACCTTATCAGAAGGGCTTCTCAGAGCAGTCTATATATAAAATAGCCCTACACACTCCACCTCACTCACACTCCCAGACCTCACTTATCCTGCTTTGTCTTTGTAGCACCTATGACCACCTGATAACCGTTACATATTTGCTGATTTGTTTACTGTCTTCGATTGATGGGCCTTTGTGTGTGTTGTTCCCTGCTGTATCCTAGAATCCTGCCTGGCACATAGTAGACACTTCACAACTATTTGATAAATAAATGAATTCAGTACAAAGATTGTTATTGTTATTTATTAAGACTAATAGTAAAAAAATATATTTTAAAATAGCAATTATTTATTGAGGGCTTTTTATGTGCTGGGCCCTGTGCTGAGCACTGTAGCTCTAGTATCTCATTTAATCTTTGCAAATATGCTCTATTATACAGATGAAGAAACCAAAACAAGCAGTGTTAATTAACTTGGCCAAAATCACTTAGCTAGTAAAGGACAAACTCAGGATTTGAAACCCAGAATCTGTGAACACTAAAACCCATGCTTTTAGGCACTGTCTTACAATCTCCTGCTATAATTCTATTTAACTAACTTTCAAAGAAAATATTTTTTGTCTCTACGTGTAATGGCAAAGTTGAATAACAAACATTGAACCAAAAACCTAAACCTCTTCTGCAGAAGGCTTTTGTTGGTGGTGGTGCTGTCAAATCGACTCAGACTCACTGCGATCCCATGTGACAGAGTAGGAAGCAGATTGCCAGGTCTTTCTCCTGCAGAGCACTGGCTGGGTTCCAAATGCCAACCTTTTGGTTAGCAGTCGAGCGTTTAAACATTGTGCCACCAGGACTCCTTATGGAAGGCTTAACATGGAGGTTTTTGAACAGGCAGTTCCACTCTGTCCTATAGAGTTGCTATGAGTGAGAATCAACTCGATGGCACACACCAACAACAATGAAGCAGGAAGGTATACTTCTAGCTTATTGCTCTTTTACTACACACACTGTTTTTCTTAAGACAGGAAATAAATTCCTGCAAGACTAACTTTTTTATCTATAATTGCTATGCAAAGCATAACTGCATAGGAGAGTAAGCGTTTATTGTTACCTAAATTCTGCAGCAATAGCTAAGTTTCTTGAGCAATTGATGGTGCTAGGCAGTGATCTATGTATGCGCTGGACATACATCACTGCATTTAATTCTCACAACAACCCATGGCTTGGCCGTTATTGTTGTTATTCCCATTGTATCGATGAGGACCAAGAAAGGCAGGGGTGTTCACTAGCTCACTCACAGCTACACAGCCTTATTTGGTGGGGCTGGGATTAAAAGGTTCACCAATTAGACCCCAGAGCCTGAGCTGTGGACTTTTCATGAGCTCCTATGGAAAGGGTGCAACATAGCCCTAAGGTATATATATATTTAATTTTATTGTACTTTAGGTGAAAGTTTAGAGCTTAAGTTAATTTCTCAGTCAAAAATTTATACACATATTGTTTTGTGACATTGGTTGCAATCCCCACAATATGACAGCATGCCCCGCCTTTCCACCCCAGGTTCCCGGTGTCCATTCTTCCAGTTCCTGTCCCTTCCTGCCATCTTGTCTTGCTTTTGGACAAGAGTTGCCCATTTGGTCTCGTACATTTGATTGAACTAAGAAGCACATTCCTCACACGTGTTATTTTCTGTTTTATAGCCTGTCTAATCTTTGTCTGAAAAATAGGCTTCGGAAATGGTTTCAGTTCAGGGTTAGCAGAGTGTCCAGGGGCCATAGTCTCAGGGTTCCTCTAGTCTCTGTCAGACCTATGGTATATATTTTAAACTTTTTATCATTGGAGATTTCAAACATATTAAGAAGAGATGATAGGATAATTAATTCCCATACACCCATTACCCAGCTTCAGCCATTATCTACTCAGGCCATATGTGATTTTAAACGTGAGAATGCCCATCTCGTGTAAAGGGCTGTGGTAATGGGAGCATCTACATCAAGGTGTGAATCCGTCTATTGCACTTTACTCTGGGCTTGAGTCTGTGGAATTTTTGAAAATTGACTTTGCATAACACATCCCCACATTTTAAATTATAATGGTAATATCTGATTCAGCTTAGGTAGAAATCCTGACCTCACACCAAAGGGAAATGAGCCCATGTAGATAACAGCAGGTTCTAGATGCTGCTTGCGAATGCTGGGTCCTTCAGTGCCGGTTCCCGTGCTGACAAGGCCAGTAAACACTTTCATTTCTGTCAGTTTGACTTAGTCTAGGAAAATGGGATCAGCAACTTATAAACTGCATGCATGTATACGTGCGTACATATATACAAAGCACAAAGGCTGACATATTTAGATTTAATAAAGAGAAGACACACAGGGGAAAGGAGAAATGCACACAGGAAGGAAGCCACTGTGAAGGAGTCAGCACTGTCCAGACCAGCAGAGTCACATCACAGGGCACTTAAGTTAGGTGCTGACTTAAGAACTTAACCCCTTGTAAAAGCTCCACGCACTTTCTCCCTTATCCTCACCACCAAAAATAAACCCATTAACATGTGTTAAAGTTAAAGAAGCTTAGTATTAGGATAAAATGGAGTAAACCCTGCTGGTAATTAGAAAACTTTATAATTCCAACTCATACTTCTTCTATACCAGGCACATGAAAATTCTCCGAAAAGGCAGAATGGTTGAAAGCCCAGATTTACCTATAGAACTTTCCCTTGTTCCCTTCTTTAGTCTAACTCATGGTGCGTGAATTTTAGTATGCATAAGCATTATTGTATAGGGTTGAAGACATTAAATTATGTATACTAAACTTTAAGGGTAATTTAAAGGGAATTATAGAGGTAATTTTGATTACATTAGGATTTTCCTTTACCTCCACACCTTACAGCTTAACACTATTAACAAACTATCATATAATATAGAATTTCATTTTATGGTTAAATGGAGGATGCTGTCTTTAGGAAGTTACATGGTTCTTGAAATTTCTATAATAAAGAATCAAAACTGTCTGAAAAAGACTCAAGTACACAGAAAGGCAACTAGATTTTTCTCATGTCAGCAGTACATGATGAAAACGGTCCTTTTTATTTTTGTATTACCATCCTAAACCAGGAGTTTTGTAGGAATGCCACAAATAGTTTCTGAAATAATTAAGGGAGGAAGGAATCACACAAAAGAACCAATATACTGATTCAAAGAGCATGTAATATTTTGACTTTTGATAGACAACCCAGTTCAAGCCTTCACTGGGGGTATCAAACACTTAAAAATTGTTTTAAGAAGTATCTTTTTAATAAAAATATCTCATTAAGTAACTTAAATATTTCTTAAACATGATTAATTTCCTTGAACCGCTGTAGATAGGAACTAAGGGCAAAGAGGAGAAAGAATTTGGGTTCTCAACAGAATCCATGAAAACAATGGGTCTACCTGGAAATTTCAACAGCTAGAGCCTTGCATTTGCATAGCCTTGTTTTTTGATTTAATTTTGCAAGTGGATGAAATGCTTGTGAAATTCATTGGGCCGATAGCCCTGGAGACTTGAATCATTTAGCTAGGAAACAGTAACTCAATGCAGGTCAGGTTTCTTGTAGCAGCCAAGGTTTGTGGCAGCTGGTTCTATTTCATTGCTAGAATGCTTCTGCCTAAGAAGTTTTGTGCCTTGGATTTTATCAAGTTAATTGCTACAGAGGCCCATGGAGAGGGTGATGGGCCTACTTGTGGGGTTCCTGAAGTAAATAATGATTTTTAAAGAAAGTGTTCCCATTTAAAGGGAAAGAATAAAATAATTTTAGAACTAACCCACTGATAACACCCTGGTGAAAGTCATCATCATTATCTCTTGCCTGGATGCCTTACTTCTGTGTTTGTCGCCTTACAATATAAACTCAACACAGAAGCTAGAGTAATCCTTTAAAAACGAAAGTCATATCATATTATTCTTCTCCTCAAAATCCTCTAAACAGTTTCCTATTTTGCTCAGAGTAAAAGCCAAAGTTCTTACAGTGGCCTACAAGTCCTACATGATTTGTGGCAGCCCCCATCCTGCAACATGCCAGGCCTCATCCCCAACCATTCTTCTCTCCAGCCACAGTGGTCTCCTTGCTGCTCCAGGAAAATGCCAAGCCCACTCCTACCCCAGGGAATTTGCACTTCTGTCCATAACACTCTTCCATCAGATATCAACACGGGTAGCTCGTAAGATTTCTGTTCTAACGTGCGATTCTATGCTATGTAAAATAGCACCCCATTTGCCACCTCAATACTCTCTATCTCACTGCTACCATTTCATTTTCTCTGTAGCACTTGCAGCACTCAGCACCATCTGACATGCTCCATGTCTATCTGCCTGTCGTCCACCTTCCAGACTGGAATCTCCATGAGGGCAGAGGCTGAGTTGTGTTTACTGCAACATCTCCAGCTCTTGGAACCCAGTCAATAATGATGAGGACAATGCTAGCTGATTGTACAGGTTGCCAGGCACTGTTCTAAGTCCTTTACATGCATTAACTCATGTCATCCTCACAGTGGCCCTATGATAGAGGTACTGCTTTTCTCCCATATTATGGATGGGGAAACTGAGATGCAAGAAGTTAGGTACTTGGTCAAGTTAACACAATGAACAATTGAATAAATGAACAAATTGGAAAGGTCTTTGATACTCTTAACTCACTCAGTTTACAGGTAGGAAAACCATGTCCAGGTGAGTTGCTAATGAGCGGAGTGGTATCTGGGACCTCCTCTCTGTGTCCTTCCTACGCCCCTGCCAGCTGCAGAACTACTAAAAGTCCAACTCTTTGCAATGTATCATTCCACCCTTCTTTATGTGACTGGAAATCCACAGAGCTTAGCAGAGTGCCTGGCACACAGTAAGCACTCAGCAAACAATTTTTGAAAAGGAAAAAAAAAAAGAATGAGAGATGATAGAATTTTTGGAGTCTCTCTTCAGATTAATAGCAGGCTTGGAGAGGCAATTGACCCAGTTTTCAAAGGGCATGAGAATTCTTAGGTAATCCTCCAAATAGGCCTTTCTAGAGGCAGCTAGTGCAATGTTTGTAAATCCTCAGCTTTGGGAGTCTCTTCCTCAGGCACAGCAGATGACTGAGCAGGAATCCTAAGGAGCAACCTGTGCTAAGAACTAACTGGTATGAAGTTTCATACATATAACTATCCTACTATCCATCCACCCTTCCCACTCTAAATCTATCTTCAGGAGCAAAGCTCGATGTACGTTTTAGCCTAATTTCACTGGACTCAAAATGTGTGTACACATGTATGTGTGCATGTGTGTGTGTGTTAGTGGGTGTATCTTATGGGAATGTTGATGGATATATCAGAAGGTGTGGGAGTAGGGTGTCAATAGGTGTGTTGGTGATTATGTGGTGATACAGGTAATGAAGACAGAGCTCCACAGATTGAGACTGGTTGTGGACACTCCCAATCCTTGTGGGATTGCCTTGTTCCCCCTTGCCTTCCCTGAACACCTATGAAAGCCTATTAATAAAACATCCCCTCTTCTCTCCAAAATTCTCCATCTCAATTTTCATCAGAAAGATATTGAAGAAGTGCTTATTTAGGCATGGTATTAAGTGAGATGCCATAATGACCAATTAAACATAGAGGCCCAGCCCCTTCCCACTTTTCCCAGGATCTTGCCTCTGGGTTTCATTAAGCAAAGAAGCATCCCAACACCATCTTTATGGCCCTGGACTTAGTGCTCACAATTCAGCGGCACCTTGGGCAGGTGAGCTGGCTGTTCTTAGTGCGGCCGTCAGTCAGCAAGGTCCTGAGGAAATGCTTGCTGAATCACCAGTTGTTAGCAGAACACTACACGAGGCAGAGTGGTGGGCGGGCTTCCAAGACGGGCCACCCCCTTGAAGAGCTTAAGGATCATCACTCTGAGCTGTCGCATTTTCCTTCAGTTAGTGGGATATACAGAAGATGCTTTACTGGTGACAAAAATAAATCTCTTTCTCTCCCTCTGAGATCTCACTTAGCACAAGAATCAGAGTCTAAGGCCTCCTCTGAGACCCCAATTTCAAATCCAGGCAAAGAGGGCACAGTCACAATTATGCACGTGCTCATCTTGCTCTTGCAAATTTGTGCTTAAAAATCTTCGCAGGTTTTTAAATATGGCCTTCAATTATCTATAGGTTTGACCCCAAAAATGGCCTGTGCATTTTTATCCATAATCAATTCTCTTAAACTAAAATGTTTTCTTTGCATTTCCTCAGCTTATTGATTTAACTACCAAACCAAAAACCAAACCCATTGCCGTCAAGTCAATTCTGACTCAAAGAGACCCTATACTATAGGACACAGTAGAACTGTCCCATAGAGTTTCCAAGGAGCACCTGATGGATTCGAACTGCCGACCTTTTGGTTAGCAGCCATATAGCACTTAACCACTATGCCACCACGGTTTCCCGATTTAACTACTAGTGAATAATAATTTTTAAAATTGTTAAAAATTTTAAACAATAATTTATTAAGCACATCGTGCTAAGTAAGGGCTTTATATACATTATGTCTTTTCATTTGCCCTTATTTTACAGATGGGAAAACTGAGGCTCAGAAAGTGTTAGTAACATCCCTAAAGTCACCAGCAGGTAAAGCTGGGACTGGAACACAAGGCAGTCTTTCTCTCCTCAACCTGTGCCTTTAACCATGTACAGCTTTCATTACAGCTTATTACTGCAATACTATGCTTACATTTTAAGCACAGCCTAGTTTTAGAAATGTTTAGATTTTTTTTGCTAACAGGTGAAGCTGCCCATGGCATCTGACTTACAGCTAAGTGAAGTGGACTCTTGGTAGCACCAGAATCTGATTCTTCAAATCCACTGGTGGTTCTTTCCAAAAGCTGTTGCAACAAAAAGAAAACAATAGTACATCAGTCTGTTTGCAAAGTGCAAAAAGAATCCTACATTCTGGATACTAATACTGGCATAAATGAAAAAAGAAGCTTCAGAAATTTAAGAAATTATGCAGCTTATTAGCAATATAAAAAATCTGATAAGGCATATCTAAAACAAATATGCTAACCGAATATTTAAACTTCTAGATCATGTCAACATTTGCTATTCAAATAAAGGCTTTCACACTTGAAAAGATGCTCACCTCACTACTCCAGAAAAAACATTCATGTTAAATGCATTTTTCACCTAAGCAGATTGGTAATAATGAACACTATATTAGCAGCAGCTTTTAAATGGTATTTAAAGCCCTAAGATTGGATGAGATGACCAGAGAGTAAATGTAAACAGAGAGGAGAAGGGGTCCCAGGATTGAGTCCAAGGGCACCCAAGATTAAGAGTTGGAGAAATGAGGAGGAACCAGAAAAGGAGGGAGACAGCAAGTGAGTGAGAAGGAAAACGATGAGAGTGTGGGGTTCTGGAAACCAAGCAAAGAAAGTTTCAAGGAAAGAGTGAGCAGCCATGTCAAATGTTCTTATTTAAAAAAAAAACAAACAAAACCCATTGCTGTGGAGTCGATTCCAACTCACAGTGATCCTATAGGACAGAGTACCACTGCCCCATAGAGTTTCCTAGGCTGCAAATCTTTTTGGAAGCAGACCGCCACATCTTTCTCCTGTGAAGCAGCGGGTAGGTTTGAACCACTGACCTTTCAGTTAGCAGCTGAGTGCTTAACCACTGTGCTACCAGGGCTTGGTCAAGTAAAATGAGGTCCGAGAATTGACCATTGGGTTTACCAGCATGGAGGCTAGTACTGACTCTGATAAAAGCTGTTTATCAAAACATTGTTTATATGAAAAAAATAGAAAAAAAAACTAGCAATAGAGATAGGTTAAATAAATTGTAGTGTCATATATTACCACTTCAGATTAATTGTCCCTCTTTATCTTGCCTTAAAGTTCTTTGTATAGTGGTGCATCCAAAAGAAATACAAGTCCAACTCCAAAAGTCTTGAGGTTGGTGAATACGGTGAGATTCAACATCCATTCTAACATTTTGACCTGGTGGGCTTGGACTGTCCTATATTGCAGAGGCTGGACAACTAAAAACTGTATTTCCTAGACCTTGAGCTATGGTTCCAGGCGATTTAGGTTCTGTCAAATTAGATGTACTCTAATTTGGAAGACAGAGTGAGAAAACATCTCTCTGTGACTTCTGATGGCAAGCAGAGTTGTGGAGACTTTCGTTAGTCTTTCAGCTTCCAGTATCTAGGTCACCAGTTTAGCAAGAGTAGAGAGGCAAGACACTGGGACACAGGGCATCTCCTTTTTGGTGGTATGGATCGAGCAGATTCTGTGTGGCTCTAGGGCCAACAGTAGTGGTGGTGACAACTTTGGCCCTGTATGTCACTTAGGATGGTGTGTTTCTGGTGTCAGCCTTTCTGAGGGCTGCCTTCTAACTCCTTGTCTTCTCAATTATGGGGAAAAAGCAGCTTACCTGGCAGCTCAGTTCTACAGCTCAAGGTCATTTCTGGAGGACCAGCCTAGACTCCACTCTTCTAGACCTTCTGACAATCTTGTAAACACCTATTTTTTTTTTAAATTTTATTTTACTGTTGTACTTTAAGTGTAAGTTTACAATTCAAGTTAGTCTCTCATACAAAAATTTATACCTTGTTATGTGACCCTAATTGCTCTCCCTATACTGTGACAGCACAGTCCTCCTTTCCACCTAGGATGTCCCGTGTCCATTCAACCATCTCCTGACCCTCTCTCCTTCTCATCTCACCTCCGGACAGGAGCTGCCTATTTAGTCTCATATATCCACTTGAGCTAAAAAGCAGACTCTTCACGAGTATCATTTTATGTCCCATAGTCCAGTCTAATCTTTGCCTGAAGAGTTGGCCTTGGGAATGGTTTTAGTTCTGAGTTGACAGACAGTCTGGGGGCCATGCTTTCTGGGGCTCCTCCAGTCTCAGTCAGACCATTAAGTCTGGTCTTTTTACTAGAATTTAAGTTCTGCACTCCACCTTTTTCCTGTTCCATCAGGGACTCTCTGTTGTGTTCCCTGTCAGAGCGGTCATTGGTGGTAGCCAGGCACCATCTAGTTCTTCTGGTCTCAGGCTGATGCTGTCTCTGGTTTATCTGGCCCATACCTATTTTTTTTGTTTTTTTTAATAAATAAAATCTTTCAACAATAATTTAGAATAGCTAGTGGTTTTTATATCCTTCAAATGAACCCTGACTGATTCAAAGGGTAATGCAGATTTATATACACATTTTATATACATTTTCTTAATGATAGTAAGGAGAAATTACATCACCCAATACACTGGTCAGCAAAACTTCCTAAAAATCCACTTCTCCCCATTTTTCTCGATGAAAGTCTCAAACTTGTCAAGTGGAAAAGCACATTTTAAAAACATATGTGTGGAACAACACCAACTTTATTTTTAAAAAATCCTATATTGACATGAATAAATATGCAGGAAAAAGCCTAGAAATACGTACCCTAAAATGTTTAGCGCAGTAACCTAAACGTAGGATTATAGATGATTTTTATTTTCTTCTTTATATTTCCTGATTTTTTTTTTAGTGAATATGCATTTTTTAATCAGAAAAATACTAAAGATATGTCTATTTTAGAGGAAAGGTACTAACCTTCCTTTTCATTTTATAGAATGATTCACCAACAGTTCAGAGACCCCCCACCCCACAGGTCCATGACTCATTTCTAGTCAACGCATGTGGAACAAAAAACTGTATTAAGATTCTTTAGTAAATCAAATAATAGTGTAAAATTTCCTATCTAAGAGCATGCAATCTTAAATTTGTAAATAATAACAATACAAATAATTATATTGGAAGTAGGAGAAATTTTATGTTTGTTTCTTATTAGTGTGAGAATAGAAGTTGGAACTTAAACAATCTAGGATACTTTAGAATGAGAGTAAATTTAACTTCAAAGCAAATAACTTTAAAACCAATCTCCTACACAGTTGAAATAAAAGTAGCCTAAACTGCTTGATAAGGCTAGAAAACAGCTGTCCTTTGCTTTGTTTTGCCACTTTATCACCTGCAAGACTTCTTGGAATTGACTGTATGTACCAACTCCAAATCCTGTCCTAGAATGAACTTTTAATCAAAGGAACACAGAATCATTTCCACCACTACAACAAATACGATGAACAGGGACAAAAAGACAATATACAGTTTGTTGTTGTTGTTATAGTGACCCTGTGTACAACAGAACGAAACACTGCCCAGTCCTGTGCCATCCTCACAATTGATGTTATGCTTGAGCCCATTGTTGCAGCCACTGTGTCAATCCATCTTGTTGAGGGTCTTCGTCTTTTTCACTGACCCTCTACTTTACCAAGCATGATGTCCTTCTCCAGGGCCTGATCCCTCCTGATAGCATGTCCAAAGTATGTGAGACATAATCTCACCATCCTTGCTTGTAAGGAGCATTCTGGTTGTACTTCTTCCAAGACAGATTTGTTCGTTCTTTTAGCAACCCATGGTATATTCAATATTCTTCGCCAACGCCATAATTCAAAGTTGTCAATTCCTCTTCAGTCTTCCTCATTCATTGTCCAGCTTTCACATGCATATGAGGCAACTGAAAACACCATCGCTTGGGTCAGGCGCACCTTAGTCTTCAAGGTGACATCTTTGCTTTTCAACACTTTAAAGACGTCTTTTGCAGCAGATTTGCCTGATGCAATGTGTATTTTGATGTCTTGACTGCTGCTTCCATGGGTGTTGATTGTGGATCCAAGGAAAATGAAATCCTTGACAACTTCAATCTTTTCTTCGTTTATCATGATGTTGTTTATTGGTCCAGTTGTGAGGATTTTTGTTTGCTTTATGTTGAGGTGTAATCGATACTGAAGACTGTGGTCTTTGATTTTCATCAGTAAGTGCTTTAAGTCCTCTTCCCTTTCAGCAAGCAAGGTTGTGTCAACTGCATATTGGAGGTTGTTAATGAGTCTTCCTCCAATCTTGATGCCCCATTCTTCTTCATAGAGTCCAGCTTCTCGGATTATTTGCTCAGCATACAGATTGAATAGGTGTGGTGAAAGGATACTACCCTGATGCACACCTTTCCTGACTTTAAACCATGCAGTATCCCCTTGTTCTGTTCGAACGACTGCCTCTTGATCTATGTACAGGTTCCACATGAGCACAATTAAGTGTTCTGGAATTCCCATTCTTAGCAATGTTATCCAAAATTTGTTATGATCCATATAGTCGAATGCCTTTGCATAGTCAGTAAAACACAGGTAAACATCTTTCTGGTATTCTCTGCTTTCAGCCAGGATCCATCTGACATCCTGGTTCCACATCCTCTTCTGAATCCGGCTTGAATTTCTGGCAGTTCCCTGTCAATATACTGCTGCAGCCACTTTTGAATGATCTTCAGCAAAATTTTACTTGCATGTAATATTAATGATACTGTTTGATAACTTGCACATTGGTTGGATCACTTTTCTTGGGAATAGGCATAAATATGGATGTCTTCCAGTTGGTTGGCCAGGTAGCTGTCTTCCAAATTTCTTGGCATAGACGAGTGAGCACTTCCAGTGCTGCATCTGTTTGTTGAAACATCTCAGTTGATATTCCGTCAATTCCTGCAGGCTTGTGTTTTGCCAATGTCTTCAGTGCAGCTTGGACCTCTTCCTTCAGTACCATCAGTTCCTGATCATATGCTATCTCCCGAAATGGTTGAACGTCTACCAATTCTTTTTGGTATAGTGACTCTGTGTATTCCTTCCACCTTCTTTTGATGCTTTCTGCATCGTTCAATATTTTCCCTGTAGAATCTTTCACTCTTGCAACTCAAGGTTTGAATTTTTTCTTCAGTTCTTTCAGCTCTAGAAATGCTGACTGTGTTCTTCCCTTTTGGTTTTCTATCTCCAGCTCTTTGCACATGTCATTATAATACT